GGAGGCGGGGCGCAGGAGGCGGGGCGCAGGAGGCGGGGCGCAGGAGGGGCCTCGGGTTGGCTGGGGGCTGGGGGCGGGCCCCCGCTGGAGTGACGTGGGAGCCTTGAGTCGGTCTCCACCCCTACGTCCCAGCCCCCCAGGTGCGTGGGGGAAGGTGGATTGGGTGCGGAGGCGGCGGGAGGGAGTCGGGAACCTGCGCTGTCAGCCCCAAGCCCGGGAGGGCAGGGCGGCGGCTGGAGGGCTCTGTTAGGGACGCCATAAAACCTTCGCTGTCCCCCGGGCCCCAGCCGGCGCCGTCGGATGCTGAAGCCGACCTCTTCGTGCTCTCGGGTCGACCGAGTCAGAACGGGGCGCCCCGGGGCCCTGGCTTGGAGAGGCCCCAGGTGCGAGCGGAGAGCCGCTGGAATTTGGCCCCCCACGCGTCTCTGCTTCCCCCCAGTTCTGCACCAGCCCTTAAATCCGGGCTGGGAGGTCTCACCCTCAGCACAGCCTGTGCTTTGGGGTCCCCTTTCAGCTACTCGGGGGGTCCCAGTTCCAAGGCTTACGCAGAGCTGGAAGCTCAGGGTCCAATTTATAGATGAGGGAAGTGAGTCAGGGGAGCTAGTAAGAACTAGGTCCCACGCGAGGAGCGGGGTGAGGGGTGCTGGTGAAAGCGGGATGCCAACCCGTATGGATCCAGGAGGGAGCCCACTAACACCCCGTCCACTTCAGCCCTTGGGACTGACCTGCCAAAGAAGGAGTTAGGCTGCGAGCCCCCAGAGGGCAGGGACCAGATCTTGCTTCTCTCTGTCCCCAGAGTAGGAACTCACTATTGGTTAACATTTGCTGTCGACTGAAAGCAGTCCAATCCCCCATCTTCAACCTAGTTTCTTGACTTCCCTGTGCCACAAGTGACCCTCTTAACACCTTGATGGTCAACCCCTGCCAGTCAGGGTCTGTCTCTCTCCCTAGCATCCCCCTCCAATCCTAGCAACCTGTTCTCCCTCCCACTCTGGGGACCTCATGCATGAGGGAAGGAGGCATCTCCGGAGGGGAAAAAAACAGTGAAATCTGGCCCTGAAGGCAGTGTGTCTGGGCAGAAAACACTGGACAGCTAGCTCCTGGATGCTCTGCCTTGACTGTGACTTTCACGGAGTGACCCTGAGGAACTAGACACTAAATATGAACTCAGGGTGTTAGTACTTCCATTTTACAGACGAGGAAACTGAGCTGCCCAAGGTTACAAAGCTAGTAAGCAAGAGTTGGGATCCGAACCCATAGCTGTTGGATTCCTAGGTCATGTTCTCTCTGCCCAACTGCCTCCTGCTAAAAGGGCATTTGGTTTCTGGTCCTCACTTCCTTCCCTGTACCTTTCAGCCACCCACAGCCCACAGAGGGACCCACCACCCCAGCCTCCATCCATCAATATCCCTTCTTCAAGGAGACGAAGGTCAGAGCCGCGCCCTCAGCCCAAGGATGAGGATGAGGTCAGAGTATTGCCTGGCTGGAGCAGATGCTAAATAATTCATGGGTCTGCTGTGAAGCGGGGGCTGCAGCTTCCGGGAGGGTCTAGAAGGCACACAGCAGACAGGAAACAAAATCTGGTCACTTGCACCTGAGTCTGATCTCTGCAAACCCCATGGGGCTGGAGAAAGTGCCTCGTTTGGTAACAAAGGGTTGGAGGGCATGACCCCAGGCAAGTGACTTCACCTGTTTCTTGCTGCCTCTAGCTCTTATGCGAGGTGTGATCAAGTGCAGGAAACCAGTGTAAACCAGAATAGTGGATGTGGGCCTTGGCAGGTCCTCAGGGGAGGTATTGATCATCCCCCTGGCCCCGTCTGTCTTCCCACGAGCCCAGGATGTCACTCAGTGGTGCGCCTCCAGCACGCCAGGCCGCAGCAGAACTATGATAGGGATCGTCCCCCTCTCTTGCCCCATCCCTACATTCCCAGACCTTGGGGGGACAGGGGGGAGAGGCACAGGCACAAATCTTGGCTGTTTTTGGAGGCTTGGTTTCCTCCCTTAGAATAAATCCCCAACCGAGAAGAAGTTAGTTGGAATCAAACAGCCTTTGTTGGTCTATAAGGGAAGAGACTAGGTTAAAAATATGCATTAAATCCCAGAAAAAATCTCAGTGAATACATGGGGATTCTGTGACAGGAATTCCTCAGTAACAGAGGACAAGGTCCTTTAATTCTGAGTAGTTAGGGTCCAAACTACTCTGCTTCGAGCTGAACCAGCTTGACAGAGTGGGTGTGAAATTTACCAAGGTATTGGTCTGACGTTACCTGCAATAGGTTCTGGCCTCTTCTAGTTTTTTTCCATCCCAGGCTCATTTGTGATGCGGCTGGACCACTTGGGGTAAGGCACCTCTCTCCTAAAAACACACCTGTCTTCTGTCTTCTCCACTTGGCCAAGGCCTGGAGCAGGGCCACTGGGTGTCCCTGAGCCAGGGTGGCCTGCAGCTTTCAGGAGCCCATCCTTCCCAAGCCAATACCCAGATCCCCAAAGAACTCAGACGAACAAACCCACATTCCCTGCAGGCTGCTCTTCATGGCCGCCTGGTAAGGCCAAGACTCACATGAGACTATCACTTCAAAAAGCAAGACAGTGCCTTTATTCACTGTAAGGGATCTTGGGGCCACTAACCTAGATCAAGAAAAGTCTGAGGTGCAGAGAGCTCCCTCGTCCCTCCATCAGAGAGAAGTAATACTCTGTTTGTGGAGCTAAGCAACCCAGCACATGATCGGTCAATGGTGGCAATGGGGGGTAGGGGGCTGTCACAGGCAGCTGTCTGGCCCTACTCTCTCTGTGGGGCCTGAGAAATATTCCAGTAACAAAGGCACAGGTTGCTGGGGGCAGGAGGGTGGTGCTGGAGAGCTGTGGGCTGACCACAGGGTGAGGTCGGGCCCTGCTCTTGTTCTCTCCCCCCACCCTGGGCACCCAGAGGTGACTCTGCGCTGAGCACAGAGCTCCAGGGGCACGCCTGGGGAAGCCCCCTTGGGCCAGCCAGCTCTGCCTGGTACCCGAGCGCAGGACAAAACCAGGAGATGATGCTACAGAGATCTCATTCCCGTGAGTCTGGAGCTGTGCACATCTCCGCCCTTGCTACCACCATCATTGGGTCCTAAAGGATGCCCCCCACTTCCCTGGGTGGCCGTCAGGACCCTCTGGAGCATGTCGTGGGAGAGAAGAGTGCCAGCACGTTTGCGGTGCCCAAGGTGAGGCAGAAATCTGTACACCTGCCCAGCAGGACATGGCACGAGTCCCAGTTCTGTGAGCAGCTGAGACCCCAGCCCATGTGATCCAAGACTCTCAGCTGGCCCCTGAGGATGCAGCCCCAACCCCACCTTGTGTCTTGATGGGCCCCAGTTCATTGCAGGTGGGGAAGGCATGGGGCCATGGCATAAGGGGGCACGTGAGGGAAGCACCAAAGGGGCTAAGATCCAGCACCCACAGGCCACGAAGAGGAGCAGCGTCTGCCCAGGCCTCGGGCCAAGCTCTGTCCCAGCTCAGGGGCCTTCCGCAGTCCAGGTGGTAGCAGGAAGCCCTGATGAGAAAGCCCACTTCCACCAGGGCTTGGCTCCAAACACGTAGGCGCAGGCAGGACAAGCTGATGCTGGACACCAAGACAGCCAGGAAGGCCCGTGGTGTGAAGACAGGGCATCTGAGGATGGCCATCTGGAGAACCACAGCATGGGACACATGGGCTGTGACTAGGGGAAGGGCGTCGACGGGGGATGGAGGCAGGCTGGGCAGTTCTGTAGATCCTTGTGGCCTCAGTCACGTGGGACGCAGGAGAGGCAAAGGGAATGGCCCCAGGGCCCCAGCCACGCACCTCAGGGCTTCACAGGCCCCCACTCAGTCCTCTGCTTCTGGCTGGTGGCCTCCGGTCCCTCCCAGCTCCAATGACAAGGGCGGGAAAGGTGCTGGGCCCTGCCCAGCCCAGACAGAGTTATGAGGACATCAGGATGGACGTGTGGTTCAGGGAAGAGGGCTTCTACCATCTCGTTTTATTTTGCGGGGACTGAGCCTAAAGTAACCAGAAAGAACAAGAGTCAAAGGGGACCCTACCGCTCAGGGGCCCAAGCTCTGGCTTCTACTAAAAACAGTGTCTGAGTCCCAGCGGGGCTGGTGCAATCTGACATAGAAGGGAAACTCTGGGAGAAGTTTGTTTTTCTTCCGGCAACCTTTCTCTCCCTTCCAACAGAGACTTTTATTTTCCTCCCCCCACTACGACCAGTGTCAGAAAATAGCTTCTGACTCGTTGGGTAGAAACATTCCCAAGCTCGGGAGGGGCGGGCTTGGCAGCCCCTTTGCAAAGCCCGGAGCCAGTGTCCAAGGGTCACGGCACTGCTGCTCATCCAAGCCCAGGCCACTGGCTCGGCCCCAGGGTGGGCCTCGAAGACAGAGCTCAACAAAACCTGACTGGTGGGGCCACCTCTAGAGGCTGTTGTGGCCTCGGTGGGTCAGTCTGCTTACCTCTGTCAGGGGCCGGGAGAGGGACAGCCCCCACCTTTTGCCTCTAAGGCCATGTCTGACCCTAAAATGGCACGATTCTGGGATTCTGACTCGGGAAAGAGGACAGAATGCTGCGCTGTCCACCTTTCTTGGCAGCCACGAGGTTTAAAAGGAGCTGATGTGGGAAGGCTTTGTTTACCATAAAGGACTGAGCCAGTGGACACGTTAGTAACTGTCCAGGAATGAAACCAACCGGAACCGGCCCACCCTTTCCCACCTTTGGAAACCCACTTTGTAAATAAGTGCCAATGTTCTCCGAGCGGTCCGCTTCCACCCATGCTCGGCACAGCACCATCTAACAGCACAGGCTGGTGACTCTCCACCGCGTCTCTTGGAGCACTTGAATGGCCATCCCCGCTAAGAGGGTCTGAAGTTGGTCCGCCTTCCCTTGCACACACCCTTCGCAGAGCTGCCCTATGGTGGGCCTGCCCTCCCAACTCTGGCCTTGCGCATGGCTGTGGGCGGGGGGGGGGGGGGATGGGAAGGGGTCCCGGAGGAAAAGCTGTCTGATCTCAGATAAGCCCAGATGCTGGACTAGACCCTGGACAGGCGCTGGGCCCGGAAGTTCATTCTGACTGCCTGCGACACGACACGGTACACAGGCTCCGCTGAAGACTCCTTCCCTGTGGGCAGGTGTCAGCTACTTAATTGCACGGAAGGAAAAATCAGCAGCAACGTTCCTGTGAACTGGATTCGGAAGGAGAAAGAGGAACCACCCCCAGCCCACGGAGGAGGAGGCTCATCAGTGACCAAGAGCCTGGGGTCAGAAACGACATTCCCAGAGGAAGGGCTTGTAAAGCAAAAACGTGTTTATTAGGCACCCTCGCTCCTCATAGAGGAGCAAGACCCAGGACAGACGCGCCTGAGAAATCTCTCGAGGTTGCAGGAATCTCTCTTAAGACTCCAGAAAATGTTGGCACTGACTGGCCACCACCCCAAGAAGAACACTATCTGGCTGGAGCACGAAGCTCCACAAACACTGAGGCGCGAGTAGGGGGCCCCTGGGACACCCACACAGACATTGGCAGACAGGGACGGCCTTCCTGGCTCCAAGGCACAGTTGCCCTGAGCCACGGAGGGGGCAGGGGCAGTAGGAGAGCCAGGGGCTCCTCACCCAGGCCATGTCCCAAGGGCCTTCCCGAAATCTGCCTGCCTCCTCCTGACCGCCGACTCAATCCCACACGTAGGGGTTTCTAAAGACCTGGGAGTTCTTGCTGTCTCTCGGCGGTGTGGTGGCCCGGTGGCTCTGGGCCGCATACATGTCTTCAGCCCTCAGGGTGGAGTTGGCACTGCCCATCACCTGGCTGTTGGCGGTGGCTCGTGGGAGGATGACGTCGTAAGCTCCTTCGGACTGGAAGGAAGGACAGGAGGTCTCACAGCCAGGTTCCGCCAGGGCGGACGCACAAACACTCTGCTTCCTGCAGGGCTGTGCCTGCCAGCAGCACCCCCCCCCCCAAGCCCCCCCAGCAGGGCCTCAGCGGCTGCCTGGAATAGGTAACTCCACTTCTGGAAACGGGGGGGCTGGCCTCTGACCTCGAGCCCCTTCCCTCACCCTGCAGAGCACCAGGCCTCTAGGCATGAGAAGGGGCCTCTGGTCACCTCGGATGGCCCCAGGGCATCACTATTTTCAGAAGGATCCTCTTCTCAAGCCTCCCCCCTCCTGCTCCCAACTGCTGGGGGGAAATCCTGGGGCCCTAGGCAGAGTGAACCACACTGAGTTGCTACTACGTGCCTGTAATGGTCCCAGGCTCCCTTCTCCCCAGACCCTTCCCCGAACCCTCAAATGGCAATAGGACACCCAGTGGCAATCAGAGCGGCAGGTCTGTGTGGCTGAGGACAGCCGGCAGGCCTTGGTTGGGCATGCCCACACTTCCTATCTTGAAGCCTGGGCGGGTTAATCAGATGTGGAGACTTAAAACCCAAATTCTCGGCCTGGAACCTGGCTAGAGCTGCAGTGCCCTACTCCTGTGTGGGGTAGAGATGGCTGTGGGGTGGGGAAGGTCCAAAGGCCCCCATCCCAGCTCCTGGCCTGAAGGCAAGCTGAACTCCTGGCCCCACCTGCCTTATCCCTAACCCCAGGGCCCCAAGCCACCCACCACCTTCAGTCGAATCAGACCCGGGTGGTCCTCCCACTGGTTTGCAATCCCCAGCTTGCAGGCCCCTGGAAGCTCCTGGAACATCTAGGCGGGTGGGGCTCAAACCTGGGTGTGCCTCAGAATCACCTGGGCAGTTGGTTCAGCCACAGCCACACCTAGTCAGGCTCTACCCAGTGGTGGCCTGGTCAATGTTTAACGGGGGCGGGGCGGGAGGGAGCCACCATCTGCAGTCACCACTCAGCTCCGTGGGTGGGTACTCCCAACCCGGCAGATTCCAAGTTATCACGATGATGCCACTGAAGAGATGCTAACCATCAGCCCTTCCCACCCCTGGCCCCACACAACTTCTATTTTCTGCAAGTTCCCTAGTGATGGTAAGGCTGGGGGGTGTGGGGACCATGTTTTGAGAATCACCGGGTCAGATAAAATATCCCTGTTCACCCAGATCCTCGGGCCCCTGGGGCAGCAGGACTGAATGTGGCCAGGCAAATGAGGGGTGGCCAGGGTGAGACAGCTGCTGGAGGAAGGACCCTGGGGGGGGGCGGGTTTCCACAGTCTGAGTGGCTGGGACCAGCAGACTCTGCTCCTGTCCTCCAGAGACTCCTTGCCCCTCCCCTGCGCCTGGCAGCAGGTTCAGCTTAGGGAGAGGGAAGGGGCTGGAGCCCCTTCATATCTAAATCAGAAGTTTCTGATATTTACTGCACCGTGCCCCGGGGGCTCGTGGCACAGAGGGGGATGGGAACAGCACCCGGCTGACCTCCCCGGCTTCCCGTTCCCAGCATCCTGCCAAGGCAGGTCACTGACATCTCCCCACAGCGACTGCCAGCCCAGGGGGAGGAACATATACGGAGGGAGAATCTAACCCAACAGTCTTCCTGTTCCCACCGCCCACTGGCTAATGGAGCATCTGGTTTCCAGAACCCAGGGGAGGTATGAGGTTGAGAGCTGCAGCCTGCTTGTGGGGGGAGGGGAGCCAAGGCCCTCTTGGGACAGCTGTGGTTGAGGAGTAAATACACACCCAGACCTACTTTTTGGTCCTCTGTGCCTTTACGGGGTCACCAAAGATTGCCACCTCCCTACCTGGCTGAGACCTTCCTTTGTCCCTCCCTAAGCTCCTTTAGGGTAAAGCTGGACTCTCCCATCAGCTCAAAGAGGACCTGTTCTGCATTCTCTGCAGCCCGGGGCCCCAGTCCTGTGTGATGCCCCATGACACAGGGCGGGTCCCACTGCAGTGCAGCTGAAGGCAGTAGAGACATCAACTCCAGGAAAAGAGCATTCGGAGCCGAGGGGCTCTGTTCCCTGAGGCTGATGCACCAGACAGAGAAGCCTGCCTTCTCCCTACCACCTCCGCCCCAGCCTGTACCGGCCACAGGGCCTCTGCACCAGCCGGCTCAGGCTGAGCTCCACGGCCCCCAGTGGGGTCACAGAGACCGGGGGACCCCACTCACCGGGCCTTTGTGCATCAGGGCCATCTCGGTGGGCTGGTACACACTGGTCAGCAGCTGCCCGTTGTACCCACTATATGGTGACACCGGTCTCTTAGCTGTAAAGAAACATAGAGCCGTTTGGAGGCTGGGTTCTCAGGCAGGGCTCCCCAGGGGGCTCGGGCAAGGAAGAGGGGGCTCACCTGCCCTGGGATAGCATCTAACCCAGGGAGGAAGCCTGGCCAGGGGTGGCCCACTTGGGGGGCAGGGTTGCAGGCGTGGGGGCCCCTCCAGAGTCCAACATGCCTTTGTCAGGAGTCAAGAAGAGCATGATGCTGCCTGCTTTCTGCTCGGGCTTTCCTGCAGTGCGAGGACCCCTCCCCCACCTTTAGCCAAGAAAAATGCTCCTGTCAGCAACCTTCATATCCCCATCCGCCCTCCGGGGCCAGAGGCCAAGAGGGGCACATGGGCCTTCGGCGGCCTTCCAAGACAGCCAGGCTCCAGCTCTGGCCTCTACCACTGCAGGCCACAGCTGCAAGGCGCTAGGGTAAGCAGAGCAAAGACCCCACAGCCTGAGACTCCCAGTTGTCCCGGGGCACAGCTGATCCTCCAGGACCCCACAACCCAGAGCCCCACCAGGAGGACTGAATGTACATTCCTCCTGTCCTGTGGCACCCGGGCAAGATTCTGGTACTGTTTTCAGCTCCAAGAATACCTCCCCGTGCCTTCAGGTGTGTTGGTGTCCCGATCTGTTCTACCCTGCTGGGGTTCCCAGGGTGTCCGAGGAAAGCTGACGACCAGCCCCCGGGGCCCGAGGGCAGGCTGTGCCGTGAGGGCAGGTGGAAGGATGTCTGTCTCCTGCAGGCTGCTGGACTGCAGCTCCGAGGGACCACAACTATACAGGGCTGGCTTCCTAAGTGCTGGGCCCACTCGATTGATTTTTCCATTTAGAGAAAAAAAAAAAAAAGAAAAGAAAAAAACCCTCACAGCCCCAGGAATGTTTGCCTTGCGAGGACAAAGGATGAGTAGTACTACGTGGGCCTCATGGCCAGACACAGGGCGGGAGCAGACGTGGGTGCACAAGCCCCACCCCCACTCAACTGGTCCCACTCTGTTATGTGGACCAGGGGCCACCCCCGTGGGCAGATCACAGATCAGGTGCCAGACAGGACAAAGGTCACTCCTTTCCCCAAAACAAGAGATGATGGGGGGGTTCCCAGTTTGTAGAGAGGAGGCAGGGAGTTCTGCTTCTGGAACTTCCCATCGCTGACTCAGCCCTCTGGCAGGGACCCTAGAGCTGGTGACCGACAGTCAAGCAGCTGAAGTCTTAAGCCCCCCAAACATCCTGCTCAGCCCAGTCCGCGGCTGGGGTCAGGGGTCTGTCCTGGGCTTTCTGCTCTCCAGTTCCCAGTCACATCGGATAAAGGGGCTGTAGGCAGCTGACTAAGGACAGTACGCCACAGGACACATCAGGAAATGCATGCACACCGAGCACATAGTAGGTGCTCAATGAATGCTAGAGGTCCTTACTTACAGTTAACAAATGCCAGAGAAATACTCTTCCCTTTGGAAGCCAGGAGCTCAACTGGCCAAGTGTCCCAGAGAAGCATCTCCCCTCACGCCGCCCCCCCCAGCCCACCTGCTTCTCAAGCTGCTTCCAAGGGGGAGGAGGGGGGCTTGGCACAGGCTGCAGAAGCTTCACCCATTTCTGCCTCTTCCAATTCCAGACACCCTCAGCCTGACCCCTCCGAGGCTGTACGGCTGGCCGGTGTCCCTAGTGCTGGGCTCCAACAGGAAAGCCCCATCCCATTAACAACGAGCCGGAACAGGAGCCTGGGGACAAGCCAGCTGGAGAGTGGGTGCTGCTAAGATCAGGATGTGGCACAGTGCTTTCATTAAAAAGAACAAAATCAGGACACCTGGGTGGCTCAGTTGGTTAAGCATCCAACTAACTTTTGATTTGGGCTCAGGTCATGATCTCAGGGTCGTGAGATGGAGCCCTGTGTGGGGCTCTGCACTCAGCAGGGAGGTCTGCTTCTCTCTCTCTCCCTCTCTTTCTGCCCCTCCCCTAGCTTGCACATGTGCTCTGGCGCACTCTCTCTAAAATACAGAAATAAATCTTAAAAAAAAAAAAAAAAAAGAACAAAATCTTAACTGAGAAGACTTTTAAAGGAAACTAAGACTATGAATACGTACACAATGGAAAAACAAGTCCGGGAAGGGTGGTTGTAATCACAGTAAAAGGATGGGAATACACACAGCTAACAGCTAATACTTGTAATTTCTAAGTGCTGGGCACGTGCATTAACTTAATCTTCACAAGAACCCTATTTAACAGGAACCATTATCATCCCCATTTTACAGATGAGGAAACGGAGGCACGTGGAGGTAAAATACCAGTCAGAGGTGGCCCAGGATAGGAAAGAACAGGGTAGAACTGGGAGGAGCCAGCTGGGGGGAATTTTATCTGTGGTCTTTGAAATTTTACAATGAAAATATATTCATGAACTACAGGAGTACTAGAAACAAAACAAAACAAAAACTTAAAAATGGAATTTAGGGGCTTGAAGGCAGAACACCAGTGATCATTCGAGAACCTTCCATCTCCCTCAGGAGACCCGCACCCCCCCCCCCATCCTGCCGTCCAGGATGCAGAATGACAGACGGGGGACGCGGGGAGGGTATCCCTCCGCCTACCTGAGGCTGGCTCGTCCATGGAAAACGCCTTGTTCTCCACAAACATGCTCTGGCCCTTCTGCTCTTTCAGGATGGTCTCGTAGCCGACGCCGCGGGTGGGGTACATGTCCCCCTGGTAGCTCTGCTCTGGGCTGGCCTTGGTCACCTGGGAGACCTCCGGGATGACGTAGAAGAGGACAAAGGCCCAGGCGTTGGCAGCGAGGGCGATGGCCAGCGTGGGGTCATCCCAGGTGGGGCTGTTGCGCTGTCTGTTGCCGTACGTGTACATGACAATCCACACCACCCATATGGCAATGGAGGTGGCCGTGGTGAGCAGCACGAAGACCCCGTGCTTCCGCCAGCGCTTGAAGCGGCCACACAGGGCAGGCCAGGCCCCCGTGAAGGCACACAGCAGCAGAAGCATGACGTAGATGAGCGCCATGACGAAGTCCATGTTGGCAATGGCGCAGGGGGAGGCCGTGGCCCAGGCGGCACTGTCATTGCCCAGAGGGCCACCCTCGCCGCCGCCGCGGACCAGCGTGATGATCAGCCACTCGGTGTTGATGATCACCTCCACGAGGGTCAGCAGCAGCGCCACTGTGAAGATCAGCCAGCCCCGTGGCCCGTGGTTCTTCCGCGCCAGAAAGTTGAGGGCAAAGACATGCGCCACCAGGCAGGAGAAGCAGATGGCGAACAGGACTCCAAAGAGGAAGCGCCGAGAGGCACAGGTGGAGAAGTCAGGCTTCACCACGCAGGCAAAGACGAGGCAGAAGAGGCCCAGGGTCCCCAGCAGGAAGAAGACCTGGGTCCCCAGGAGGCTCCGCTTCTTGGTGTCCTGCACAAAGGGGAGGCTGGCCACAAGGATGATGGTGAGGACAAAAGCAGTGACAACTCCCGCCCCAGCCACCGCCTCCAAAATGATGCCCCAGGCCCCGGAACGGTCACACAGGTTGTAGTACAGGGGGTTGAGGTCCGGGCTGCAGCCAGGTGGCACGTGGTTCTGGGCCTGGGCGCCTGCGATTAGGAAGACAGGCAGCCCCAGGCACGTCAGCAAGGCTTCGGGGATGGCCATGCTGGCTCCCAGGCCAGGCTCCGGCTGGGTCCCTAGAGACAGAGAGGGAAAAGGCAAAATCAGTCCTTCAAGGCCAGACTCTGACACCCAAGTCGCTTGCTTGCCCCCGTCCTGAACCGGGGCAGACAGTGCGAGCTGATCACGAGACCGTCCCCACGGGCTTCGGATTCCTTCTTGACACAGCACTCCTGGGAGGCATATCAACTGACCAGAGAGGCAAATGCGATGAAGCCCATTTGTCATCTCTGGTCCTACTCACGGAAAAGGAGGAATCTGTCACTGAAATTTTCGGGTTTCCCCCTCCCCTGTCATAACCAGCATCTGAACCTTCCCTGAGCTCTTGAGGTTTGGGTTGAGGGTGACAGGGTTTGAGAGCAAGTCAAAACCAAGCCACTCCACACTTTCTCCCTGCCCTGACACTCTCAGAGTTCAAGAAGCCTTGACACTGTGCCCTTCAACTCTGCCCCTGTGATGCCCACATCCATGGCCAACCTGCCACGCACTCATTCACACAGCAGGTACTTCACAAGCACCCGAAAAGCATGACCTGCAGCCACAGCAAACGAGGAGACAGTTCTCTGGGATTCTTCCCTACCACCTCCCTTTTCTGCCCTTCATTTGCCCACTTTTCACACCAGCTCTCCTCTTCAGAATCCAAACTTCTTTGTCTAGCTCGGTTGCTGAAGCGAAGGATAAAATAATTTCCTAGCTAGGGAGTTAATGACTTCATGCAAAAATCCTCCTATGAGGCATTAACATTTTTATTTTTTATTTTTTTTAAAGATTTTATTTATTTATTTGAGAGAGAATGAGAGATAGCACGAGAGGGAAGAGGGTCAGAGGGAGAAGCAGACTCCCCGCTGAGCAGGGAGCCCGATGCGGGACTCGATCCCGGGACTCCCGGATCATGACCCGAGCCGAAGGCAGTCGCCCAACCAACTGGGCCACCCAGGCGCCCGAGGCATTAACATTTTTAAAAGCAAGAGTGGGGAAGGGCAATACAACGCCCAAAGGAACTCATCTGTCATGGAAGACGTTAAGGCACTGTAGCTAGAAGGCAAAAAAGGGATCTTTCGTTCACACCAGGAAGGTACCCTATTACTCTACGTACTCCTCATTTGACCAGTCCCGATGACGGCGGCTCTACCAAGGCCTGTAGATGAGCAGCGAAGAAAACGGAACCCCTGCTCTCAACACCAGCTGGACTATCCTTGTGTGGTGTGGAGATAAAGAAGGTGGCAGGTTAAGAGAAATTAAATATCCAATCAGTGAAAGACTTTAAATTTACTTGGAGAACAGAGAATCTCAATGTTCGAAACAGCCAAGTTCAAAAATACTGCAGAATACAGATATGCACATTAAATTACCCCTTACACTTCAAGTAACTAGTTATAACCCTGCTTCTTCCTCTCTCACTTCTTGGGTCCCCAGAACTCTCCGGAAAGATGGCAACCAAGCTTTCCAGGATGATGGTGACCACTAGTGGCTCTCAGGGGAGTGGCATGTTCCAACTCTTCCCACCTCTTTTCTTCCTCCCTTGGGGGTAGCGATGCATAGTCTACCCCCTTAAGTTTTCACCATTCCTAGTTACCTAATTTCTAACAGGCGAACAAAAGTACTAAATCTCAGTCAATGGAAACTGTCTCTCTGTAATTGATAAGCGGAAGAGTACGTGCTATTGGATCAAGGAAAATAAAACCCATAAATTAAGTGAAACCGACATAATAAAGATCGTCAATTTTCAAAGTCCTTTAACGTATCCTACAGACCCAAAGTGCCCCTTGAAAATACTGCAGGCATCTTGAGCTTCTCAGCTACTTCATTTTTTAAAAATTTTTTAAGATTTTATTTATTTGACAGCACAAGCAGGCAGAGTTGCGGGCAGAGGGAGCGGGAGAAACAGGCCCCCCGTGGAGCAGAGAGCCTGACGTGGGGCTCGATCCCAGGACCCTGGGATCATAACCTGAGCCGAGGGCAGAGGCCTAACCCACTGAGTCATCCAGGTGCCCTCAGGTACTTCATTTTTCAGTTAAGCTTGCTTTTCCTCCAAATACTACCTATCATTAACTCTTAATAAGCTAACATCTTGGGAGCCTGGGTGGCTCAGTCGTTGAGCGTCTGCCTTCGGCTCAGGTCATGGTCCCAGGGTCCTGGGATCGAGTCCCACATCGGGCTCCCTGCTCGGCGGGAAGCCTGCTTCTCCCTCTCCCGCTCTCCCTGCTTGGGTTCCCTCTCTCTGTTAAAAAATAAATAAATAAAATCTTAACAAGCTAACATCTTTGTTGTTTTCCCAAATAACTGCAGGGTCAGAACTCAGTTTCTCTTGACTTCTAACGCAAAAGCACGTTTCCCCTGCATCGAGATTTAAATAAGCTTTCGTAGGGGACTTTGTGCAATCGTAAATCAATAAAGCATAAACTGTATTTACAAGTGCTGGAAAGAAAAAAGAAGGGTGGAGGATTGATGGGTAAGGAGAAACAATGAGCCACTCCAGGGAAGAGGTAATTTGCAAATTACACGCTATGGGTTCCTAAGCCTTCAACCCCATCTTGGGTGTTTGGGGCTCATAGCAAAGCAGCCAGAACTCCTGGTAAAGTTGGAGATGTGGAAGTGAGCCCTGAGAAAGGCCACCCTGAGTTAGCCCCCAGGTATCAGATTAGATACAGGCAATTATTCCCAATCAGAAAATATTTACTGTGCATTTTGGCCGCGGGGGTGGGGGGGGGGGGGGGGTGGGGACGACAAAGCCAGTCGTTCTCAGAGCTCTGGGAAATACAAAGATGAACAAATACGGTCCCTGACTTGACGGTTTGTTTTTTGTTTTTGTTTTTCTCCCTGACTTGATGGTTTTTAAAATCCAGTACGAGAGAGAAGGTAGGTCTGTGAGAAAATGGTAAGTGCCACACAACAGAATTTGCCTCTGGGGGAGGGAAAGGTGCTCCAAGAACACAGAGGAGGAAGCTCTTCCCACTGAGGGGTCAGAAAAGACAGAACGGAGAAGACCTTTCAACAGCATTTTATTCAGTATTTTATCACCTTCAAGTATGAACTGAGTTTGTAAGGGGAGACACAGACTAGAAATGCTACAGGGAAGGAGGTTGGGGTATCATTCTAAAGGCAATGGGGAGTCAACTGAAAGCTGTGTTTTGCACAAACACGGCATAACTAGGGTTGTGCTTTCAGATCTGAATCTGGCCAAAAGCACAGGCAATCGATTTACTGAGGACACATTCACCCGTTTAAAGATCGAGGCCAAAGGTAAAGCCATAATGGCCAGATCTGAGAGATCCTTTCCCAGATAAAATCTAAGGACTGACTGGACGTAGGGGGAAAGGATATCAAAGCCCACACTACAAGTTTAAATCTGGTAACAGCCATGTCATGGCAAAAACAAAACAAAACCAAGCCAGGTCCCATTTAGCCCCACAACCCTTCTGGTCACTTACTCTTCTTGAGCCATCTTGCTCTTAGGAGTACACGCCTTTACCCTGCCAGCATCCAGCAACCTCGCAGCTCTCTGGCCGCCCCACCAATGCGGGGAGAACTCCCAAGAAGGAAAGAGGAACCTACCTGTTCTTGCTGTTGCTCCTCCCCGCCCAGGTACCTGGCTGCTGGGCAGCTCTGAAACTTACCAGCCCCAGATGAAACAAACCATTCCCACCGGACACAATCCATTTCTCTGTTCCCCGGAAAAATGCAAGGGTGAGTATGGAGACAGGAATACACCTACTCAGTCCTAGGGCAGTGATCCGTGGAGGCCAGCAGATTTAAAGGAAGCTCAGCAGAGTTCTGCATTTGTCCTTTGACCTCCCCAAGTGCAGATTCAGCCAGGCAACCCATGCCACTTTTTACACAGCGGAGAAGGGGAAGAGCACCGCAAAGAGAGGGACCCAGCTCTGCCTAAGAGGCTCTCCCTCCCGCGGGTCCCTAAAGCCTGCACTTCCTGGCTGTCTTCTGAGCCTTGAGGGCTCTTCTGTGCATGAGTCTCCCCTACCAAGCTGGAAGGTGTGTGAGGGTAGTGAACAAGACGTATTATTAACTTAGCATCCCTGCAAACACCTCGTGCTGTGCCTTGAACAGAGTAGACATTTGAGCATGCATTTAAAAAAGACTTCGCTGAACAGACTCAGTGCCCCCTTCTCCCCTGCCTTCTTCAGTGTGGAGTCACATCTTCTGTTTCAGGGTTCTCAGTGGGACCAAGGAGGGGAGTGGGAGGGGGACCACCTCCCGCCCCATGAATTTCTCCAACACCAACACTGCAGCACAGCCCAGTCTCGGATTATTTCCTGGACAAAGGGGCCCTTTTGCTTCACCTCCCTGGAATCAGTCATACAGATATTTTTAATCACCTCTGAAATCGGCCTCTCCCCAGCTCAGCCACTCAGCACCCCAGCTCTGGTCTGAGTCAGCCCAATCCAGTTCCAGAATCCCCTTCCTCCCAGTTTCCCTCTCCAGGAGGAGCAGAGAGGCCTCAGCAGTGGGGTGGGTTCAGAGGCGAGCTGGCACTGACTGGCTTGATCAGAGGCGGTCAGGCCCTCTCGTCTTTCCAGAACAACCCCCTCCTAACCTCCCACCATTCACACCAGAACCCAAGAACCCCCAGGGCATAGGAGACCACCCTGAAGAGGACACCATGGGCTTCACAGTGCCGCCCTGGTCTGCATCTCCCAGGCTCAAGGACAGAGTAAGATAGAGACACACAGCCTGTGGTTACATATAAGGGTGCCATGACCCCTGACAGCCCCCTCTCAAAGGCACCTAGGCTCACCCAGGGATACCACAGAGCATCCTCATTCCTCAACTGCCAGCACTCAGCAGCCTATCAGGAGAGATGGATGGACCCACCAACAGCCCTCCCACCTCCTCCCCTTCTCCCCCATCCCACCCCCCTTTCTGGAGTCCTGTACTTATGCCTTATCATTTTACTCCTGTCCAGGGGCTCTGGCGACTAAACCCACCAATAAGAGGGATCAGAGATCAGGTTGGGAAGGGAGGGGCTTCCGGGAACCTCAGCCTAGACCTCCGCATTACGTGGACATTTGGGCCAAAATTTCCTGAGCATTCTGAAACGTGGAAGTCTTCAATCCAAGGGTCTGCTCTGGAATGCCACTCTGGAATGCGCCCCACACCCCCACCCCCCCCCCACACACACGTAATAAGACACAAGGTGGGGACCACCAAGTGCAAAAAACCCTATTTTGACACATTCTGGTTCCTGTGCTTTAGGATCAAGATCATGGAGCTTTTAAATGATTGGCTTTTCCAGGGTGTAAAACTGCGGGCTTCAGGATGGAGGGGCGCTACCCAACCCCTGCGGCTGCAAAGGGCCCTGGAAAAGCCCTGGGGGGTAGGAGGGATCTAGAAGCCAAGCTGCCAGAAATAGCGGCTCTTTTATGGTCTGAATCCAAACTTCCTACAGGAAGATTCTGAGAATTTCCCTCCTCACCCCGGGGGTCTCCACCGGCGCTCCCCAGGCCTTGGATGCAGAATGAGTAGGGACCCCAGCCTGTCTCACGCATTCCCTCTGGCCACAGAAACCTGCTCTCCCCATCCTCGGGCACCGGAGAGGAGGCTGGCCCACCAGTCGCTGCTAACCGTGGACTCACGCAGAGAGGCAGCCGGAGTGGAGGGGGCACCGACTGTGGAGTTCGGGACAGCGCCGGGCTTCCCCCACCCCCGGTCCCCAGCTTGCGCGGGTTTGTAAAGTTTCTGCGACCAAGCAGAGTTGGCGCGGCGTCCTCCGCGCTCCCCCTCCCCCGGTCCTCCACAGTCGGGCTTCTGCCCTCGCCCACGGCCCGCCGGCCCGACCCGGCTCTTCCGGGCGGCGGAGGAGAGGGCGGAGCGGGAAGGCAGCAGCCCTTACCTGGGACGCGCCGCCCGCCCCACTCGGCGCGGCGTTTGGGGCCACCTCCAGCTCCAAGCGGAGCGCGGGCGGGGTGAGAGGGGCTCGGCGGAGGGCGCGGAGCCAGGCGAAGCCCGGGCCTGGGATGGCGGGGCACGGGCGGGGGCTCGGGGCGCAGGGCCTGCCTCTCCCGGGAGCCTGGGCTGGGCTGGGCTGGCCGCGCTCGGTCCCTCCTTCTGGCGCTGGCCTCTCCCCGCACTCGGCTCCTTTCTCCGGGCGAGGGTGGGCCGGCGCCTGCATCACCGTGACATCACCTCCATTCAGGAGCTGATCGGGCGGCCGCAGCGCACCAGGTATGTGCAATCCGTTTGCACAGCAACAAAGCCCGCCAGACCCTCCCCCCCCGCCGACTCACCTCCAGGCTCCGGCTAGGCGCACTTTCCGGCCGGGGAGGGAGCTCGGAGTTTCTGGCGGAGCTGGCCAGAGTGTTGTTGCTGTTTACTGCCACGCCCCCGCACGCGGGCGCGCGCACTCACGCGCACTCACGCGCACTCACTTTTCACGATTCGGCTTTCCCTCCGGAAAGCGGTTTGGGGGCAACCTCTCCTGCCCCGCATGTCCCAGCGCACACACACGAACACGCGCGGGGGCCACCTTGGTGCGTCTCACCGAGCCTTCGTCACCTTCGTCCTGGCTCTCCCGTGAGGGACACACGCCGGGCACAGTTCGCTGCTCTGGGCTAGAGCGAGGCGCACACTCAAGACACAAAGTCCGTCTTTGTCACGCCTTCTGCGCCCCCTCCCCTCCCCGAGCTTGCACACGTGGACACACCACACGCCGACTGTTTCGCCTCTAACACGCGCGGCCTTTCCCCAACACCTGGGTCACCAAACATGCATGGGGGGGGGGGACACCGCGAGCGCCCCTACCGCCGTGGGCCGGGCCCGGAACCCCTCGGAACCGTGAGCAAACGTCGCTCTGGGCCGGACTCCCCTGCGCCCGGATTTCCTGCGACCGCCTCAGACACGGTCCGACTCTGAGCGCGCGCTCCCCTCCCCGCGTCCCCGTTCCCTGTTCCGACTTGTCCTAATTAGCCTTCACGGTCATGTTCCTCGGGGTACAGTGTTTAACCCGGCCCCCGCGGTCCCTGCGCTCAGGGACGCAACGGTCCTGACTCCGAGTCCAGCCCTCCCGCCGCCCGCGGACTTTTCCACGAGTTCGGGTATCCTCCGCCCCACTCCGCGTCCCACCCCCACTCCCTGCCCCGGGGTGGATCAGCCGGCTGCCACCCTTTCCCCTCCGGCCCCAGGATTCAGCAGAAAGGGAACCGCAGAACTGGGCTAGTGAATCCAGTCTGGGACCTCCCCGGCCCAGTAAACAACAGATTTTTTCCGGCCGCCTTCCCCTGGGGCTGGCGGGCTCCGCGGGAGGTGGGCTGAGCGGTCCGGGGGGCTCCCAGCGGGGCCTAGTTGGCCTGCGCGGGAGGCCGGGAGGGGCCGCGGCGCACTGGGAAGGGAGAGGTTGTTGGGCCTGGCCGGGGCCCAGGGGACGCGGAGGGAGGGCAGGGCGCCGGGTCTCCGGGGTGCTGGTTCTCGTGACGCCGAGTTGCCTGGGGGATCGCCAGCAGCGCGCGGTCGGAGCCAGCCGGCGGCGGGGCGGCAGGGGGGGCGTGTTTGCACAGCCCGGAGCGCGCGGGAGGCGGGGGAAGCGGCTGGTCCCGGGCTCGGGGGTGGCAAGGTTGGGGGAGGGCGCGGGGAAAGGGGAGGGGTACCTCCGGGGCTGTTTGTGTGCCTCAATCTACGACAGGCAGAAGTCAAACTCAATGAATCACCAGGAGCTGCTGGAGCGATAAACCTCAGGCCTGCCCCTCCCCTCGCGCACCGGCTTTTCGCAGTCCAGGAGGGAATGTGTGCTTCGCGACCGGGGTCGGCGGTGGGGCCCTGCGTTTTCTAGAACCTGCCTCCCTCCCTGTGCCTTGCTCTCGCTTGCAAGTCTGGGAAGTGCGGTGATCACTGAATTGTTTCCGTTCTTTTTAAATATTAAGATTAAGAGCGCGTTTCTGGTGCAAAGTTGTGCGTTACTCTCGGTCTCCCTCCCCTAACTCCACCCCGGTCCCACGTCTCCCGGACCCTCCTGTGAGGGTGTGCAGGCAGGTGCCCGCGCTGGGAAGGCAAGCCCTAAGTGAGCGGGTAAGTCCCTCTGGCCTCTGACTGTAGCTTTCATTAACAAGGCAGGTATTGTCCATATCAGTTTGCTGGGAGGGTTGCTCCTTAGCATATGTGAAAAGCCAATTCTGAGAGCCCGGGATGGGTATAGGGGAAGTGGGCCGGGGGCAGATGAGTTGTGGATCCAACCCATCTTCTCGGTTTGCTCTCAAGCTTCTGGAACTCCTTTAGGTACAGAGGACTCTCCCAAGAGGCAAGTTTTCCCCCATCAGTTCCTGCCCAGGCAGGGGTAAGGTTGGGGTATGGGGTGCCTGGCCACCCACTGGGAATGGGCCAAGAGGCCTGCCAGCCCTGAGCAGTAGGCACCACTGGAAATGTAGGACAGCTTTCTGAGAAAGGTTTGCTGGGTCCCTTTTCACCCTGTCTCATTCTGGAACAAGATCTGCCTTCAAAACAAAGCAAGGCCCTCGGGGCAGATGACCCAGCCCTTTGAGCCTCCAGGATCCCTGGTGCCTTCTGCTTTAGTCCCTGGGGCAGGGCCTGGCTGGCTGTGGGGTGGTGGGACTGGAGGTCCAGATCTTGAGAGCGCCACCCCACTCCAGCCCCCCTGAGTCCCACTGTGAGGGTGGGGGGTGCTTCTGGACACCAGCAGCCTTCCTTGGTTAGAAGGGATGTCATGTGAGAGGTGTGTTGTTTTCCAAAACTCCGGGTACAGCGTTGTCTGTGTCCCCAAATGCCATTCACCCAGTTTAACGACCCGTAGGCATATAAGCCTTTATGAACTCCCGTTTTAACCAGAAAATAACGGTTTGTGAAGTCAGCCCCTATGGATACTGCCCACCCACTGTGCAGAGAGATCCTGGATTAATGGGCTGTCGGGGAGTGTCTGGCTCCCTCCCTCCCCTTATATTTGGTGCTTGAGTTCCTTTTGGGCCATGGAAACTCCTTTCATCCATCCCAGCCTTCCTTCTCTGAGCTGCTAGAGGCTTAGGGACTGACAAGGCCCCAGGGTCAGAAGCAGCTCTGTCACCTGCCATCTGTGATCTGGATGGGTCACTGCATCACCCTGGGCCCTACTTTCCTCTCCTGTACAATGGGCACGATAACCCCACCCTTCCATCTTGCTGTAACATCCAGATGACTCCGAGTCTAGAATGTTCCTCACACAAGCTGGCCCCTCACAGGTGCCCCAGGTGCCCAGCCAGTCAGCCTCTCCTTTCCTGGTGCATCCCCTCTAATCTTAGTCCTGTCAAGTTAAAGTCCTGTCTTCTCTGACCTTTCAGTTCTGTTTTACGGTTATCGGAATACCCTTATCATGCCATGCTCTGGGCCTTCGCCTCTGCTGTTTCTTTTTCCTCCAACATCCTCTCCCCCCCCCCCCCCCCCCTTCCTTTCCCAAAATTTTTTCAAAAATCCAGCTCTGCCTCAAAGGTCAGCCCCAGTGTCCCTCTGTGAAGTTTTCCTCACCTTCCCCAGAAAGAACCATGGGAGTTGCTTTACCTACAGCTTTTGATGCATTTGTTTATTTATCATTAGCCCAGTGTATCTTCATCAGGCCTGTCAATTGTTGTCTCCACAATTAGACTGTGCCCTTCTCAAGAGGGGGACATGTTTCACGCATCTTGTGGTCCCTGGCATCTGGCACAGAGCCGGTCACATGGGGGTAGCTCCATTGTCTTGAGGTCAGGACCGTAGTGGTAAGAGTGGGGATCCAGCCCCTGGAGAGTAGTCTGCCGCCGACCTTCCCCTCAAACCACGGGCCTCGAGCAAGCCGTATGCACCTGCCCTGCCCACCACACCTGCCCTGCCCACGGCACAAGGCCTTCCTGGGAAGCAGGCAAGCCCCATTGCCTTCTGGAGAAGTCCACTGCCCCTGAGCCAACAATGCCCTCCATTCAGAGTCCGGGTAGAGGCACTTGACCACCTGGCTTGGGGCACAGGAGGTGAGGAGGCTAGAGGTCAGTTTTGCTCTGTAGAGGGACTTCCTTTTGCATGGGGAGCAGGAGTACACATTGCAGCTTCAGCTGGTGGAATCGCTCTCAGGAGCCATTTCCTTCTCCGGGGAGGGGGAGGGCTGCCCCCTCACCCCCACCAGGGTTGAGTGCCCTTGGTCTTGTGGCCTGGCCCCAGTGAAGCGAGAACAGTCCCTCCCTGAGCTGAGGGTGGAGGCTCTTGGCTCCCTGACAGGTAGGTGCCTGGAATCCTGTACCAGGCGGCTGGGTGCCCCACAACTGGCTGGTAAACAGACTGTGCATTTGACTTCTCCTTGCTCCCAGGCTCCATATTAACTGGTTACTGCCCAGCCTATGGTGTCTGGCTAAGTCTCCTTTTCTCTTAGGTTTATAGGACTGACGCTTGCACTAGTCGGTACCCCCGTTTTTTTTTTTTTTAAGGACCCAGGTCCCAAGGTGGCACCTTAAGAAACAGGAAGCCAGGGGTCTGGGAGCGGGCAAGTTGAACAGCAATTCCCCACAACTGGTTACCCATGGATGATCCCTCTAGAAATGTACCCGGAAGTGGGCCTTGGGCAGAGCCTGCTGGAATGTCACCTGCTGCCAAGCCCATCCTCAGTGGCCACAAATCTGCTTCTCCTTATCCCCTCTCCCTGTCCATGGCTCAGTGGCCACTGACCACTTCCCTGTGGAGGAGAGAACTGGATTTTCTGAGCTGCCCAGGTCTGGAGAGTGTCCATCAACACACAGTGGATCTAGGAAGCAGGGTCAAAGCAGAGGGTCCAAGGAGTCAGGCCCCTCCCCCCATGAGCCCCTTCCAAAAATGAAAAACAAATGTGCACACAGTGCTGCATCTAGTTCCCCCTTACCTTCGGGGGAGGGAGGGTCTCACCCCCATCTGAGAACATTTCAGGGATGGGGTACCCTTTACCTCACTCCAGCGGCTACCTGGCCCCAAGCTGATTACCTCGCTTACAGTCTTCCACTCCTCAACACCTCCAGTCACCCTGCAAACTGCCGTCCATGTCCATCGGGGGACATTCCCTGACTTCACCCCCTCGCTCTGCCGACAACTTGGCCGGCTCCCACTGCCTTGAAGTGAAAGACTAAGCTTGTTTGCTCAGCAGTCAAGACCTCTGCAACCTGCACTCAACCCCGGGCGCCAGCCTCAACCCCTCTTCTTCCCCACTCCGGCCTGAGAGGTCAGCTCCCAGTCTGGCCACTGGACTTGCCTTCCTGTGGCTTTACTCACACGCCCCGCCCAAGTCTCAGTCCGGAAAGCCCCCTCTGGATCTCTCTGCTCCAGTCCCCTTTTAAAGTCCTGTGCTCCTCCCAGAATTTTTGGCTGGTGACCCCACCCCTCAGTCCTCCTCCCGCTCTCTCCTAGAGCTCCCCTTCTAAGGCGAATTTGCTAGCCTAGTACTACTCTGCATCATTAATTGTATCTTATGCATAAATATCTTGCCTTTCTAATTGCTGATATGCTTGTTGGGGATTGGATTCAGATCTCATGTCTGTCCTTCCTTGCAGCCCCTAGGATAGTGCTTTATACACACAATAAAAAAAGGCAATAAATATCAGCAGAATAGCGGACGGACCGGCTGGGAGCTGAGTGAGGCTGCCTTCTTGAAGGGGAAGGGCAGGCTCAGGGTCTAGCCTTGGCCTTGCGGTGGTCATGAACCCCCTACTCAGATCCCTGGCTCCCTCTGGCTCCCA